TCAATGAGTCTTGCTTATCTAAAAACACTCCTTGCGCGTATATTTGCTTCATATGTCTAGATCCGCACTTGAAGGCATTAGCAACACTGATATACTACACGCGACCTCGTAAGGTGAAAACTTCTTACTTTCAGTTCACAACCAATTGGACCATTCGAGCGATTCTGGACGGAATCGAAAAAGTTTTCGCTTAACGGACTTCTGTATCTAATAGCAGCGGATCACCGATGCCGCCAGTTAGGAACCTAGGTATATTTAATTAGCAAAAGAGAAATCTTAGTAAATTATGGTGAAATAATATCATTAGTCCCTAGGGACATACCACGTTTTCTCTTAAAGGACTCATGGAAAGTCGCTTGAAGTAGCTCAGCTGGTCACGAATTCCAGAATTTGACAGCGCCGTTCTGCTATGTCGTACCTCCAACCTCTGGGTGTCACCCCCAAGGTTTGTGTTGGGGCTGAGCTTAAGGTGGTGTGTAAGGTGATGCTCAAGAGTGTTTAGAATACCATAAGTCATTGGAAAGTCACCTCTAAGACGCCTGTACTCTGCGTAGAACTTCAGTGATTTGAGACTGTATTCTTTTTTACTTTCAGTTGCTTATCAACTAATATACTTGCATGGAAGCAATAATAAGAATTTTAAATCGAATACAGTTCAACATGCATATATAAAAGTGATATTTTATAAGTCAACTAGATTTAGTGTAGCAAGCAATCGGTTTAGGTCGTTCAGCAATCTGAGAGATAAAGTGACGATAGATCCTATGAACTGAGGGCTTTTACAGGTTCATATACTAGCGGCTAGCATTCAACGTGTATAATCTGTGCCGAATGATTGGGTGGTTATTTCAGTTGGACGGGGATGATACGACTAACCGGTTAACATCAGTCACACCGCGCAGTTAGTACCTAACGTGGATTACCCTTTCGTCTCATTCATGTGCTACAGCTGCTTTGATGACGGTACAATACAAACGAAGTTATTACATAAATATATTTGCAAGAGTAGGTGCAATTAACAGAATGCGACCACTGCTGTATGAGCTAGTCCATGGTGTGCAATTGACTAATGCAAACTGTTCGATACTCGATGACGCGACTTTCGGATTTGGCTGGGGCCCAGTGACATTTTACTGACCATGAAGGTTAATCATCACACATCCTCCACGGATTACGATAATGTGGACAAAAATTCCCACTTCATTTTTAGTTGCCATGTACGAAGTCAAAACTGCGAACGAGAGTGGAGTTTATCTTCACCCGTTCATAAATTATCAACCAACAATAATAAGGTAGTTTTTCACAGGTTGTGTTTAGTAAACATAAAATGGGACATCCTTATATTTCGTGTACAGGACTTCATCTACTTTGATTGACTAGTCTACCTCTGAATGAAAAGTGAATAATTTATGATTCAGATTTGTGTAGTAAGGACAGAAGGCCTACGGCCTATGTTATTCCTTTTCTAGTATGCTTCTGTCAGTGTCCAGTCTTCTCTTGAAAGAGTCAATTGAAGGTGCGGACACCACTGCTTCAGGCAGCAGGTTCCAAGTATTGATGACTCGGTGTGAAAACCTGTATGCCACGGGTATTTTGTTCGTTCTTGGCTTTTCTACTCGCCTGCTATGTCCTCTGAGGTGTCCCGATCTAGTGGGAAGAAAGAGAGAGAATAAGTTAGGTCCGAAATCATTTCTCAGTATTCTGTACATCAATATTAGATCTCCCCTTAGTCTGCGATAGGATAGAGTAAAGAGGTTCAGTTTTTCAAGCCGCTCTTTATATGATAAACCCCGGAGTTCCGGAATGGCACGCGTAGCCGCCCTCTGTACCTTTTCTAGTATGTCTGAGTCACCTTTTAAACAGGGGCTTGCAGCCTGAACACAGTTCTCCAACTTAGTTCTTACTAAGGATGTGTATAATGTGGTGAACATGGTAGTATCAAACTTAGTGAATGTCCTTTTTAAAGCCCAGAGGGTTCGAAACCCCTTAACTGCGACCTCCCGGCCGTCGTCTTGAGATCATTGCTCACTGTCACCCCCAGGTCAATATGAGACCGGACTACGGGTAATGACACATCCTCTATGTTGTACGTATCAACCTTTGAATCCCCCAAGTGCATTTAGACACTTTTCCGAGTTGATAGGCATCAGCCACTCTTACTGTTCTGGCCTTGAACAGTTGTGTTATCTTGTTATTTTTATTATCTGAAGTAATTGTTTCATTTAGCCAGTTGAACTGCATATTTGTATCCCAATAATTTTGTTGGTTTAAATTATGCTTAAAAACCTAACGACTCAAACTGTCTTAGAGGGATCCCGTCGTTCACCTTTAAGATTTCTATTTGTAATTTATAGTATTAGAACACTTGTGTGAAAATCCAAAGTTATAGTTCTTTCTACAAGTATAAAATTCGTCCAGGAAAATCAACAGGAGTCATTCAAAAGCTATTAAATTTAAAGAGCAATTTTTGTCGTCTCGATAAAAGAGCATCACGTTTAATCTTCGGCATTTTAGTCAGACCCCGCTAAGAGTATGGTAACATCATGCTTACTCCTTCACTCTGAAATGAACAAGGATACTCTTCATCGAATTTAAATGGGAGACATGAAATACATTTGTTAACTGAAATTCAATCTTTAGGCGATGCGCGTTAAATCAATGAGTCTTGCTTATCTAAAAACACTCCTTGCGCGTATATTTGCTTCATATGTCTAGATCCGCACTTGAAGGCATTAGCAACACTGATATACTACACGCGACCTCGTAAGGTGAAAACTTCTTACTTTCAGTTCACAACCAATTGGACCATTCGAGCGATTCTGGACGGAATCGAAAAAGTTTTCGCTTAACGGACTTCTGTATCTAATAGCAGCGGATCACCGATGCCGCCAGTTAGGAACCTAGGTATATTTAATTAGCAAAAGAGAAATCTTAGTAAATTATGGTGAAATAATATCATTAGTCCCTAGGGACATACCACGTTTTCTCTTAAAGGACTCATGGAAAGTCGCTTGAAGTAGCTCAGCTGGTCACGAATTCCAGAATTTGACAGCGCCGTTCTGCTATGTCGTACCTCCAACCTCTGGGTGTCACCCCCAAGGTTTGTGTTGGGGCTGAGCTTGTGGTGCAACAGACGATACATAAACACAATAAGTATCAGCAAATTTAATAAAAAGGAATAGTAATAATAATATATATCATTTAAGTGCTACAAATACAATAAAAATGGGACTTTACTTAAGTTCACCCAAAATGATGCGTGTTCAGCTTTAATCTGTTACAATAAATCCACAATTATAGATGCTTGGTTATTCCAAACGTATCGACGAAATCCCCAGTGGTGTAATCCAAAGTAAAGTATGGTGTATTCGCTCTCACACTCTATGAATGTAAATAATATTTGTTTTAGATCTCAGTTAACTCAATCTCGAATGAAAACAAAACGAGGGATGTGTGAGAAGCAGTGTATTTGTTAACCAGCAACGATATGTCACTCTATGTAGTATCACAACGGAAATCTTCAAAGTCATTTACTTAAACAACAGGTACAATCATTTAATGATAAATGTACATGCAGTGAGAAATTGACAAAATAAATACAAATAATATTGAAAACTATTTACAAAATAAGCTTGTCAGACCTATCTCCACAAGCTCAAGGAGGTGTGTAAGGTGGTGCTCAAGAGTGTTTAGAATACCGTAAGTCTTTGGAAAGTCACCTCTAAGACGCCTGTACTCTGCGTAGAACTTCAGTGATTTGAAACTCTATTCATAAGGCTTGAATTTGAGTCCCTGAACGGATTAAGTGCCTCGACTTTAGTTACCTTCCGGTGTAATCCTATCCCTTTTGAGTAAGAGAGGAAACACTACACTTCCATAAAATAAATACGGTCGAACAGAACTGTTGAAGATTTATTGGAATGTTCTATTGTCGAACTGGCCAAAAATCAGTTTCAATGTTACCAGGGCAAGGTTTTCTCGAAACGCATTGTTGACGCAGTTAGCATAATACTTTAGATTTAAGAATACCAAAACTTTCATATCTTTAGCAACTTTGAACACTTTCATAGGGGAGTTACCCAAACTTTATTAGGCGACTGTAACAGATCCCATACGGACTAGTTCGAAGTCGTCAGATTATCTTGGCAGCAAACTTTTCTCCAGAGTTTCACGTCATCAGCGAAAGGTAATAAAGCATACGATACCTTCTGAGAAAGGACGCTCACATAAATTAAGAAAAGAAGAGACCCCAGTATTTAACCCTTTTCGACCTCATCAGTACATCCTGTAGCCTAAGTAAAAGTGAAGTTTACCTTGACACTAAAATGTCAATTATTGAGATATGAAGTAAGCTAATTGGTTAACAGTGGCGTGATACCTAACCGTTTGACCTTATTAATATGACATCTATGATTGACTGTATTACAAACTTCTGAGAAGTCAGGGTATATAACATCGACCTTCCTCTTGCGATCAACGATGGTCGCTGATCTATAAACCGAGGTCAGCAAAATAATAATACAGGAGTGACTCTTCCTGAAACTGTGGTGTTGTGGTGAAAAGAAATTCGTGGATGGTAATTCGACCATCACGTATCGGGGGCTCCACAATTTTTGAGGGTATAGAGAGAAGTGTTATCAGACGATAGCTTGAAGGTTCGCCGTGTCGACCTTTTGAAAATTAGTGTAATGTGAGCCAGTGTTCAATTTTCTAGTGCTGTGCGTCGACTAAGTGAATGTGAGAACAATTAACTAAATGTTTTTGTCAAGATTGATGTCCTTCATTCTTGTAGCAGGGTGGACCATATTCTGACCGGGAGAAATGTCTTAATTTAGATGCTACAGTTTCCGATGCATCAACTCAGAGCTCAGTTTTACTTAAATGATTATTGATCTACAAACGCTTACGAGTAAGAGCATAGTATACAGTCCCATCCATATGCTCTCAAAACGAAAATATGAGGTCAGAAAAATCTGATTATTTTTATTCAAGATCCCATTATTTTGTTAAGTTTTGTTTAGCTGATCTCACAGTTCAGGAGATTGTTTTTGAATATTCAGCGTCATGCGTGCCTGTGGCGAGGTATGTCTATAACTTAATGTCAGATGTGTGGTTTAGCTAAAACTATTTTCCGTTGTAGGCCGTAAGCTCCCAACACCTAAAGAGCCGAAGCCTGTACCTTACAGAATGCGGATATTCGCTCCGAACTCAGTTGTAGCCAAATCACGTTTCTGGTATTTCATCAGGAAGCTGAAGAAAATGAAGAAAGGTAGCGGTGAGATTATTTCTTGTGAAAGAGTAAGTCATAGTCTACTACCGGTTGTGATGTCTTGTAAATGACCCTAATCTTTTATATCCCAATTTCAGTATGAAACGTTAAGCCTTTCAATGGTCGGTATTTGGTGGTAACGTACACCTTACATTAATTTCTCGTAACCGTTTTCATAATCCTTTCACATAGTCACTTTCAACATCAGCTTTTGTAATCACTCGTGATAACCTGACGTTAGAACTGCTGTGATGTTAAGTTTTTACCGTCCCGTTTTGTAGTGACCATACATTATTTGTCTGGAACTTGATTCTTCATTTCCATTGAGCGGGTACTCAATTATATGACAATTCTTCATTTCGTAAACCCAGTCACTTGCTTTTGTAAACACAAGTGAAACTACGGCTTACGAGTTTGTTATGAGGATCGTTTCTATTTTAAATTAGCTTCGTATCCTGTGTTTGAGTAATAATAGATAGTCTCAGGTTGATTCAATCTCTGGAACGTCAGTCTTTGTTATACATGAATATCGTTAAATGTGTTTCTATTGGGTTTTGTTGTGGTCGCACCTTTACCGGCTTGGATTTCTATCTGAGCTAATAGTGGTGCGTATAATGAGGCTGATAATTATGTATTCACGTTCGTCAGCTATAATTTACCTTAATGATAGGTGTTCGAAATTGAATGGTCGATATTAGTTACTCTCAAGACAACTGTGTATTTGGAGCGACAAAATGCTTTTGTAGATACTGGTAACGGTAAATATTTCTTATTGAGTAAAGCTGTAGTTGCACCTTTACCGGCTCAGAATTTCATCTGAGCTAATAGTGGTGCGTATAATGAAGCTGATAGTTGTATCTTCATACTCAGCTATAGCTTTTCCCAATATTATACGTGTTAATAATTGTTTACTATAATTTTCATCACAGATACACCCAAGAAAGCCACTAATGGTCAAGAATTTTGGGATTTGGCTGAGATATGATAGTCGTTCTGGGACGCACAATATGTACAAGGAATATCGCGCAATGACAGAGGAGAATGCCGTCACTCAATTATACCGCGAGATGGGTGCTCGTCACCGTGCCCGAGCAGAGTCTATCCAAGTGATTAAAGTGGAGTCGTTACCAGCATCTAAATGCCGTCGTCCGTACGTCACTCAGTTCCACGACAGCAAATTGAAATTCCCTCTGCCTCATCGTGTGACTCGTCCTCTCCACCACCCAAGGTTTACAACAAGAAGACCTACAACAGCCTTCTAGTTTTCCAATAAATTTGAAAGGTTACTTGCATTCAGTTTTCTCAAGTGTCAATATATTGTATATCGGGAACAGTGTTTAATAAAGCAATATTATTTGTTAGATATTTAAAAAAAGTGGGATAAAGTCAGCGATTCCGAGTTACTTCACAATTTGTCGTTTGCTGGTATTGTGCTTCGTAAATCGGTTTACCGAGTTCACTGATTAGTATGAGATGTACGAATTTGTATGCTAACAATGTGGCTAGTTTTCCGAGCATCGAACGAGAGGTTTCGACATCATAATTTATAGACTGAGGCTTCAGTTATATATTGACCAACCGGACATAGCGTCAGGTGATGGAGCTACTGACTAGTTAAATCATACAGTAGTGAAATATTAGTTACGACACATCACGGTAAAGTAGGTGGTCTGGGAATCAGTTGTGATAGTCTAAGCATGCTAGTCTTCATCTCGTGCATTGATATAACTGAGTTGAGTAGTTTGAATGGGAAAGATCTAATCTTGGCCAAACAGGGTTTCTTTGTGTTTCGATAAAAATATAATCCATAATAAAGAAATAGCTCCGAGGGATTCTGGAAGTGGATTCTTTAATTACACATACTGGTGCAAGGGGTCAGTCTTATTGGTAGATATTGTAAACCCTGGGGAATAACTTGAGATGGATATCGTATATTTTTTGTTACAGAAAAACAGTAGTTGTTTCGACATGTAATGTACAAACAACTTAAGTAGCTTATCATTTCTCTTCATATAGAAAAATACATAGAGCACAAGATGATACACTTGAAATTTATTAGTTCATTTTCCAATCGATAGATCTAAAAACTCACTTCAAGATCACTTCCTAGTGACAAAATAAAGATGAATCCAACTACTTAGAGTAAAATAAGAGTTGTTTTAAATCCCTAGTGCGAAATAGACCAAAGTGAACAGTACGGAATTTAGTAGCCATTGAAAGCCAAACGATATACAGGCTTCCAAAAGAAATCCTAGTCAACTTATCGATTAGAAGCAAAGTAACAGCTTATCAATCTGTGAAGTGGTTTGTAACCTAGCACTAATATTGTTTCCCATAATGAAACCGTATTTCTGAATGGAACTCTTCGTCTGGTTTCTAGGCTTCCAAATAGTTAAATCGCTTATTCTAAATTTCCTAACAAATCCTGTCTTAATTGGAACAGTGAATCATGTCTTACATTAAGAATTACGAGTGGGTGAGTATTGATTATTTACGGACGAACAACGTTAATGAACGACTATCTTATTGATATTTAGTTTTCAAGAGTTGGAAGCAAACTTATCTACTTGCTTCGTGCTGACTTGCAGTTATATATAGTTAAATGTAGGCAAGGTGCTATTGGTCACGCTCTTATGGTATTTCAGTGGACTTATTAATGGTGATCAGACTTCAGGAAAGAGGCGTTTGTTGTAGACTGCAATCGACTATGACTGGACTTATAACTCTAACTTACCATCACTTACTTGCTAAGTTTAGCTACTTCATTAAACTTGTACGCGACTCCTGTTGATTTTCCTGGATTAATTTTATACTTGTAGAAAGAACTATAACTTTGGATTTTCACACAAGTGTTCTAATACTATAAATTACAAATAGAAATCTTAAAGGTGAACGACGGGATCCCTCTAAGACAGTTTGAGTCGTTAGGTTTTTAAGCATAATTTAAACCAACAAAATTATTGGGATACAAATATGCAGTTCAACTGGCTAAATGAAACAATTACTTCAGATAATAAAAATAACAAGATAACACAACTGTTCAAGGCCAGAACAGTAAGAGTGGCTGATGCCTATCAACTCGGAAAAGTGTCTAAATGCACTTGGGGGATTCAAAGGTTGATACGTACAACATAGAGGATGTGTCATTACCCGTAGTCCGGTCTCATATTGACCTGGGGGTGACAGTGAGCAATGATCTCAAGACGACGGCCGGGAGGTCGCAGTTAAGGGGTTTCGAACCCTCTGGGCTTTAAAAAGGACATTCACTAAGTTTGATACTACCATGTTCACCACATTATACACATCCTTAGTAAGAACTAAGTTGGAGAACTGTGTTCAGGCTGCAAGCCCCTGTTTAAAAGGTGACTCAGACATACTAGAAAAGGTACAGAGGGCGGCTACGCGTGCCATTCCGGAACTCCGGGGTTTATCATATAAAGAGCGGCTTGAAAAACTGAACCTCTTTACTCTGTCCTATCGCAGACTAAGGGGAGATCTAATATTGATGTACAGAATACTGAGAAATGATTTCGGACCTAACTTATTCTCTCTCTTTCTTCCCACTAGATCGGGACACCTCAGAGGACATAGCAGGCGAGTAGAAAAGCCAAGAACGAACAAAATACCCGTGGCATACAGGTTTTCACACCGAGTCATCAATACTTGGAACCTGCTGCCTGAAGCAGTGGTGTCCGCACCTTCAATTGACTCTTTCAAGAGAAGACTGGACACTGACAGAAGCATACTAGAAAAGGAATAACATAGGCCGTAGGCCTTCTGTCCTTACTACACAAATCTGAATCATAAATTATTCACTTTTCATTCAGAGGTAGACTAGTCAATCAAAGTAGATGAAGTCCTGTACACGAAATATAAGGATGTCCCATTTTATGTTTACTAAACACAACCTGTGAAAAACTACCTTATTATTGTTGGTTGATAATTTATGAACGGGTGAAGATAAACTCCACTCTCGTTCGCAGTTTTGACTTCGTACATGGCAACTAAAAATGAAGTGGGAATTTTTGTCCACATTATCGTAATCCGTGGAGGATGTGTGATGATTAACCTTCATGGTCAGTAAAATGTCACTGGGCCCCAGCCAAATCCGAAAGTCGCGTCATCGAGTATCGAACAGTTTGCATTAGTCAATTGCACACCATGGACTAGCTCATACAGCAGTGGTCGCATTCTGTTAATTGCACCTACTCTTGCAAATATATTTATGTAATAACTTCGTTTGTATTGTACCGTCATCAAAGCAGCTGTAGCACATGAATGAGACGAAAGGGTAATCCACGTTAGGTACTAACTGCGCGGTGTGACTGATGTTAACCGGTTAGTCGTATCATCCCCGTCCAACTGAAATAACCACCCAATCATTCGGCACAGATTATACACGTTGAATGCTAGCCGCTAGTATATGAACCTGTAAAAGCCCTCAGTTCATAGGATCTATCGTCACTTTATCTCTCAGATTGCTGAACGACCTAAACCGATTGCTTGCTACACTAAATCTAGTTGACTTATAAAATATCACTTTTATATATGCATGTTGAACTGTATTCGATTTAAAATTCTTATTATTGCTTCCATGCAAGTATATTAGTTGATAAGCAACTGAAAGTAAAAAAGAATACAGTCTCAAATCACTGAAGTTCTACGCAGAGTACAGGCGTCTTAGAGGTGACTTTCCAATGACTTATGGTATTCTAAACACTCTTGAGCATCACCTTACACACCACCTTAAGCTCAGCCCCAACACAAACCTTGGGGGTGACACCCAGAGGTTGGAGGTACGACATAGCAGAACGGCGCTGTCAAATTCTGGAATTCGTGACCAGCTGAGCTACTTCAAGCGACTTTCCATGAGTCCTTTAAGAGAAAACGTGGTATGTCCCTAGGGACTAATGATATTATTTCACCATAATTTACTAAGATTTCTCTTTTGCTAATTAAATATACCTAGGTTCCTAACTGGCGGCATCGGTGATCCGCTGCTATTAGATACAGAAGTCCGTTAAGCGAAAACTTTTTCGATTCCGTCCAGAATCGCTCGAATGGTCCAATTGGTTGTGAACTGAAAGTAAGAAGTTTTCACCTTACGAGGTCGCGTGTAGTATATCAGTGTTGCTAATGCCTTCAAGTGCGGATCTAGACATATGAAGCAAATATACGCGCAAGGAGTGTTTTTAGATAAGCAAGACTCATTGATTTAACGCGCATCGCCTAAAGATTGAATTTCAGTTAACAAATGTATTTCATGTCTCCCATTTAAATTCGATGAAGAGTATCCTTGTTCATTTCAGAGTGAAGGAGTAAGCATGATGTTACCATACTCTTAGCGGGGTCTGACTAAAATGCCGAAGATTAAACGTGATGCTCTTTTATCGAGACGACAAAAATTGCTCTTTAAATTTAATAGCTTTTGAATGACTCTAAAGGCACAGTTAGAATAAGATTTTAGACCACGTGTTACCAAGACACCTAGATCTCTTGCAAATAAAGACTCCTCTGGAAGGAAAGCACCTAATTTATTTGCAAAATGTCTTAGATGAACCACTGTAAAAATCAAAAGTTAAGGAGCCATTAGTATTTGACTTTAGTAGACCCCACTAGAACACTGTTGCTTGAGAAAATATAAAACAGTGTGATCTTAAAAGGCCAACTGTTTTGCGTGAAATAAGCCAGTCTACTAGGGGTAACTTAGCATCTATCAGTCAGTCAGTCAACTACAACGTAGGACCAGGCACATATATGCATCGGTCCAAGTTGGCATACCGCATTAGCACAGTGAGATGAACACCGGATTCATAGTAGTTAAGTCAATGGTGGTGATATATAAAAGAAAGATTGCATATAAGGATATAGTACAGGAAGAAAGATATGAAGCGACTTTAATCTCTTAATTTAAGGGAAGACAGAGAGTGTATACACCTACGCCGTTGTGATCAGTTCTGATCCATGTCACCCAGAGTCTCCAACCATTGGTTCAAATGGTTACGATAGTCATGCGGACCCCAACCAAGTGGTTTGCATCTACCAACATGGCTCAGACCAGAAGTTAGTGACTCCAAGC